CGCGAGTTTATCTGCCGATCTGGCCATATACAGTACTTAGTCTTAATTGCGTTGCAATTTGGTGCAGAAAAGCGAGCACGCCCTGACCTTGCCGCTTCTCGAAAAAGAGACAAGAGTTTAATTTAAACATTTAAACATATTTATATCGCATGTGCAGATGACTTGGGCATTCGGAATTTCAAGCTCAATATACACTCGCATTTGCGCGGCAAAGACTTTTGCCGAGCACACATCACATTTGGCCCTAATTGAATGGGCAATCCCAGAAGTTGACTGCCCAGATTCAGTTGTGTAATGGCCGAAGAGAATTGGTAGAGCCGAGAAGATGGCACGTTCGATGGTCACGCTCGCTAGTTTGGACAGGGGCGAATTAAGAAAATATTAATGAGGGGTTTTTGGAAAAATAATTTATATATCAACATTGGTTATTTTAAAATAAAGTTATATTTTTTTTTTCCACCTTAAAACTTTGTATAGCCATTTTATATTTAAGCAATAAAAAACGCAACAACTTACATACTCAAATTTTATGACAAACAATTAATTCTAACTTAACTAAAATACACGAACTTTACATTAATGATCTAATATATTTACAACATGTAGAAACATAATGTAAAATCAATATGTCGTAAAATTTAACTTAATGTCATATTTAAAATCATTTGGATTATTATGCTAATATAAATAATGTATTTATGTATTTATTTTCCAAGGGATGCAGAGCCTGTAAACCCCCTTAGATCCACCACTGATCTTGGCTCAAGTCAGATTAAAGGCCGAATGCAGCTAAGGCTGCTAATCAATTGGACAAACGTGTGTTCAGTTACAGCCAAACAGATCGAGTCGACTACTTGTTGTATATTCAAAACATATAACCAACAATATGAACTCCACAGAGCTCTTCGCATTTTATTTTCTGGTTTATGAGGCAAGACGGCGGCCAAATGGTAAAGTTCTTGGCAACACACATGTTTCTGTCGAATGTTGAACTTGAAAACTGCGCCATACATAATTTTGAATAATTAAGAGCAAGCTGATCCAAGAATAGATCCCTCGTCACTCAATTAGCAATTAAAAGTTCACTTTGAACTTGACACAGTTGTTGAGCGCAAAAAAGTCGCAGACAGCAATTTGCTTCAGATACGTTTCAAAAGCTGGCAAAAAAAAAAAATCAAGACTACTGTCTATAATTATGCATTTAAATGAAAACCGCTCTGCGCTTTGCGTTTTGCGCCATCGAAATCGAATCTATTAAGCTTCTTAGGCATTTTCTGCTTCTCAGTCGTCTGATCGATCAGGAAACGGAAGTGCGATTTCTTTTTCTCCACATATTAATCTTTTTGTTTTTCTCTCGATTTATCGCTCGAAACGAGTTCCTGCCAAGGGCAAGCCAACGGTAGTTGTAGTTGGCCAGCTAGTTGGCCAGCTTCGACTCCAATTCGACCAAAATTCGATCGATCGGAGATCGGTGATCGAGATGGAGAGTTCGCGAGAGGCCCGCTAGAAATAAGTTTGGCATAGCCCGGCATTTCCGCGCTGGCAAACGAGTTCGATTTGCGCAATTAACTTGGTAACGAGCCACTTCCAATGAGTGGCCGTAGAGCATCGACCCTGTTACAGCCGCTCGGTGACGACCTGTCATGTAATCCGCTAATCGGCCCAGCTTCATTGACCCATTGTTTACTTAAGTGGCCCTCTTCTAATAATATGCGAAACACAAAAACAAGTATTTGGTTAGGGCTTTAATTAAGTCACGCGTATGCGAATAATTTCTCAATTAATTGGCGGGGGTAAACAAAGTATTAAGTCGAATTTCCAAATAAATAATCTTCTTGTTTGCAATTTTAATTATATGATCATAGTTTCTGCCCCTAAAACTGGGTTGATAAGGGTTCTCTGGAGACAGAGAAATTGAATAACTAATTCATATTAGTGCAACTGGATATTGTGAATATACATATTAACATTCTGGAAAAACTTAACATTTTGTTATTGTCATGGTTTTCATGTCACATCTATCGCAAGAATCCTCACATAATTGATTTTTAAGTTTTTAAATTAACAAATATTAATTAAATAAAAGTTTCTCAAAATAATATAATTCATAAAACAAGGTACTTTCTTTAAAATAGAATAGAAAAGTTAATTGCTTAAACGGTCAGTAGGAGTCAAAATTTTCTAGCTATTATTTGTATAATTATTATGAGACACCAAAAGACTTTTACTTTTGACATTCAAGATCGAAAACTTGATCTTTGGATCCGCCATTGGTCTACTATTTCTATTGGCCATGTATTCAACTGGGGAATCCCTTATGTAAGCATTAAACATGGCTGTATACTAATTTTAACAAAGCTTTAACACTAATTACTTTATGGGCTTTGACCCAAGCTTCATTACCACAAAATAATTTCAAAGATCAAACTTCAAATCGGATAACTTTTTATTTAATTTACCCGTATCCAAAAGATAAATTAAACAAAATATGATGTCGGTCAAATTTAAATTATAACGGCTTTGCATTTGATTTCATATTTTTTAACTAAGCTGGCAGCTCTGGACCCAATTTAAGCTTTAAGCGGAGCTTTAAAAACTCGAACTCCAGATGCCGCCAGCAGCGTGTGAAAACGCAAAGCTCCGAAATTCAAGCCGGCAGACCGCAAACAACTTTAATGCGGCCAATTAAACATTTATGAGCCTAATTTGCAATTGCTGTTAACAATCTTACGACCAAACAATGCTGTAGGCATGGAAATAAAATCTGTTTTAATGGATTAACTTTGCAGACTTTGTGGGACATCGGAAAACGATAACTCTTTGGCGCCCTTGTAGACAAAAAAAATCACAAAACTTTATAATTACTTTATAATGTTTTGTCTCATCGCCAATTAAGAATTCTACAAGCAAAATAGATTTTGCACATTTGATTGTTGCTCGTGTGACTGTCTTCGTCTACGCAATTCGGCTTGAATATACAAACAAATTCAATAATAATTGTTTAACGGTTTGCTCGCCAGTTTGGCTGTTGGCTAAATGTAAATGTTTGCGGAAGATATTTGCATAACTGGCAGTCACCCCTCATATATATCGAACTCGATCGCATGAATCGTCTGCAGCGACGGCGCTAATAAACTAACGTCTTTTGCATACCATTATGATGGTGGACAAACAAAAGACGCATGCAAATGGCTTGACAGACCGGAAGAATATGGCGTCGGCGCACACGGCGTATGATTGATTCCTGGCAGCCGAAGGGATTCACCCGAAGTATCGCCAATCCGCCCGGTCGACATTCACCCACATCTTATGCAGTCCAATCGGATTCGAACTGGTTAGCGATACGCATAAGGTAATCGGCAAGTTCAAGTTCAATTCGCCGGTGACACAGTTAACTCTTCGGTGACCCCAGCCTCAGCCTCCGATTGTTGGTCTCAAACTTGGCTCGAAGTCTTGGCCGAAAAGAGTTGTTTTCGGATCGGTTTCATTAGCCACACAGGTCGAGTCTGCGTCTTGACCCGGAAGTGGGCTTCAATCGATCCGCTCTGATCTTTGTGGGTCTCTAGAATCCGAGCCCTAGGCCCCAAGAATTTGTATGCAAATTGCCCAGCAAATACGCAGTCTCCTTGAGCAAACTCCGCACTCAAATGTTTCTGGCTGTAAATCATTCCGTTAACTGCTGTTAATAGCAATTGTTTTAAACAGTTAGGGAATTGCTTGTAAAAAGTCTAGAGAATTTCGCCGACTCGCCTTTAAAAAGGTCAACCAAAATATTGACCACCTACGCAATTTCGGTTCGGTTCTAAAGTTCAGAAATAATGGAGATAAAGCGTGAAAAAGTATTTAAAGTAGGTCAAGGTTGGTCAAGTGGTTTTCGAAAAAGATATAAATAAGGGAGAATTAGCAGAAAGCGAGAACAAAATATAATAAACTTTTCATTCTGCGGTTAATCAAGAGTTTGTTTTGTGTGGCTAATGATGAAAGTGCCAGAGGAACCGAAAAACAACTGAGAGAACACTCAATAATGATTCGAGGGTGTTCAAAAAGGCAATTAATTGAGAGAATATGAAAGTACCATTAGCGTAAGTATATATAAAGAATATTCTCTCAACTCGTTTTAGAATTTTCACTTGACAGGTTATTAGTTAAGCTTTTCTTATCTGTACATATTGTATTGGGTTGTCGAACGATTTATGGAATACGTTTAAAAGCTTTCTAAAAAACATGGAAGAAATCTGAGTTCCCAAAAGTAACAGTGTTTTTGCTACAACTATTATTTTATTTTAAGAGTGTATTTTTTGTTAGTCATAACCACTGGATAGAATTTGTTTGTCTTTAAAGAAATGAATGTTAACCAAATTTATATCAAGACTTTGATGACTTAAAAATACAATTTTATCAATTAGCATTAATATTTCTTCTCTGTCTATTTCTTCTATGTAGAATCAGAAATAAAACAACATTGTGTTCCTTATCCTATAAGTTCTACCGCAATCGCTTTGGCCAAATCGATCAAAAGTGACAACTATTGAAGAATATTTTATGATTCTTTTAATTGTACAAAAGGCTGCGCAGCCAAATACAAAACGAATTAAAATCCCAGCGAATTTGGCCAGCAACAACAAAGAGCCGGCAACACGCACACAACAACGACATTGTCATCGCAATTATCATAGGAAAACGAGACCAGGCGACGATCGTTCGATACTTTTGCTTTTGCCAAATAACAACCCATTCGAACCGAAGCCACAAGGCACCAAAGAACATCTCGTCCAAAGCCAAAGCCAAAGCTTAAGCTAAAGTCAAAGATGAAGATGAGCAAGATGCCAAATAGCCGAGACAAAAGTGCGGCTAAACAAAAACTAAAATCTGAATCTCAAACTGAAACTGAAACAGAAACAAAAACAAATCGGAAAGCGGAGAGGAAGACGAAGAAACAGCAGCGCCAAAATCGAACCTTTAGACGAAATTTTTATACATAGCCCCGTACAACTCGGCGTAGCAGTTCAGTGCGCGTACAAGTCTCGTGGGTAGCGGATGCCAGCAAAGGTCTCTCCCCCTACACTACACTACACTAAGCTAAACTATACTATACAATATAGTACTATACACCACCATATAGTAGTGCCTCATATCGGCCATAAGAAGCAGATGGAACAAGTCGAAAAAACAGTTGTCACGGTGTTAACATTAAGCGTTTCTCGGCGTCGTCGTTGAAAATTAAGTGCACGGCAATCGAAGAGATTGCAACAGGTGCCCCAACCAAAGCTCTTCATTTGTGTGTGCGAGTGTGTGTCTATATATCGAAGTGATCAATCAGATCAGATCGGATCCATAAGAAGAGGAAATGTAGAATTTGTGTTTTATTCCGCTGTCCAAAAAGTTTCCATAAAGATCGATTGGACCTAAAGTCTGGCTTGATTTAGATTTCATTTATCAAATCAATAAAAAAGTATACATTATAATTAAATCAAAAGTCAGTTCTAAGACTGGTTGAGAACGCTCTACTTTTCCATATAAAAATATTGCCTTTTCTTGGGCTTCCATAAAAGGATAATATATTATATTCTAAAATCGGTGACTTAAACTTCAGTATCAAATATCCATATCAATACCTATATCAATATCGATCTTAGAAAATCACCTTTAAATGATTAGATAGAATCGTAAAAATATAATACTTTAGCCAAGTGATAAGAATTTCTTCATATGTCCATAAGATATAGATCCTGATCTTGGTGCGACTAGGAATAAAAGCAATATAATAACAATAATATGCATTTATATTAGCATTTTCTATTTCGAGTCTTTATTTATGTCCGGCTTAGAACATAGAATTATTTGGTTTAGAACAAGTGCCTTATAAAGCCATTTAAGAAATCCACCTGTCAAGGTCATCAAACTGTTGTGACATAATTTAATTTGCCAAATAAAACCGCCTTTGGCTTTCCGACTTGGACAGTTGGGCAATAGGTGACACAATTTTCTATTTGCTCGCTCTAGGCGTTTTCAAGGCCCGCCATCTTTGGCTATTTAACAAATGACTAACCAAGTGGAAATGCCTGCGAATTGGCTGGCGATGATCAGCCAGACACGACGGCGTCCAAATGATGCGACAGTTGTCAGGTTTTTCAGATCGCCATTCCCACCCATTCCCGACAAGGTCGTGCCTCCGACTGGGAATTGATTTGAAACTGGATTTTCTTGGCCAAAAGCGACTTAGCCAGCCAAAGCGTTTAGCACCTTTTGGGTTTATTGCCGCCATTTGTCACCCCACAATTTTCTGGCCTCATTCTGCGCTAACTGTTGCAGGTAATATTCAAAGAGCCATAACTTCAGTGCAGGAAATGACCAAGAAAGCCAAGCCAAACCTGTTGATGGCTGATAGCTGATCGCTGCTGGAGTGTTGGCCAACTTGCCCTTCAAAATATTTCTGTTTCATTCGTTTATTATTTCAATTTGTTCCTCACTTCGCACACACACACTCCACTAAAGCGGACCAAGAAGCCGATCAGAATGGCCTCGGAAACGACTAAGAAATCACATTGCTATTCGATCATTGTGGTCTTAATCGGCCTTAGCCAAGTTCAAGTGTGGAGACTTCAAGTCAACGAACGTGATTGTGGATTTTAGCATATGTGCTCAAGTTCCTGCGAAGATGCAAGTTCTTTGCGATGATTAATCACCCACTGGGAGCACTTCACTCTGTCCCACTTTGAAAACGGCTTCTGTTGAGGAGCGAAACCCAAAACAAACTGCATAACACAAACAACAATTTTAATTTGGCTTCAACTCGGGAGTGTGCGAGTGGGTTTTACGCGTTCCACACGTGAGGCAGTATCCAATTTACCCGTGAATTTAGCCGTGAGGCAATATGACTTGGCCACCAATTTGTTGCGGGCTGTTGTGCGCTGCGGTTGTTTAATTCATAATAATGAATATAATTTACTGTTACTGTTACATGATAATTTCACGGCATTTCACCGTCACCGTCACACTAGCTATTGCCATTGCCATTGCTATTCTCCTTCGCCTTTGATTATTATTTTAATTTTATTTATATTTCTGGGCTCGGCAACAGCCACCAGTTGCTTGGGCTCTAGAATGGCATTAACATATATTAAAGACGAGGCTCGGAGACTCATCCAGACAACTCCCTTCCGATCTTCCCCATTTAGATTTGGCAAAACTCGTTCGTTGCGACGCAGGCTTAGCAGATTTTTGAATTTCACATCGAAGCGATCAAAAGCTGAAATACTCGTGTTTGTGGGAGCAAAAGGCCAACTAAGAATTCCAAAATGGCAGCCGTCAACGCAACGCAGGTGGACTATTGGAACTTTCTGTTCACCGATCTGGCAGGTGAGTGGGGTTTTTTATTTGGCGGAGTAACATATATAAAATAAACAATTGATCAACTTACCCGACTTCCGTGTAGATCCCCGCACCAATGACTGGTTCCTGATCAAGTCGCCATTGCCCCTGCTGGGCATCCTGGCCTTCTACCTCTTCTTTGTGCTCTCGTGGGGACCCAAGTTCATGAAGGACCGCAAGCCCTTCAAGCTGGAGCGCACCCTCCTGGTCTACAACTTCTTCCAGGTGGCCCTCAGTGTGTGGATGGTGTACGAGGGCGTGGTCATCTGGCAGTACTACAGCTGGAGGTGCCAGCCGGTGGACTGGTCCCGCACCCCCAAGGCCTATCGTGAGGCACGCGTCGTCTATGTCTACTACCTGGCCAAGATCACCGAGCTGCTGGACACCATCTTCTTTGTGCTGCGCAAGAACGACCGCCAGGTGACCTTCCTGCATGTCTACCACCACACCGTGATGCCCATGATCAGCTGGGGCACCAGCAAGTACTACCCCGGCGGACACGGCACCTTCATCGGCTGGATCAACTCCTTCGTGCACATCATCATGTACTCCTACTACTTCCTCTCCGCCTTCGGACCCCAGATGCAGAAGTACCTGTGGTGGAAGAGTTACATCACCAACCTGCAGATGGTGAGTCTACTTACTATCTATTACATTTCAGCACATTGAAGGGTTAGGAAAGGTCTAATAAATAATTACAGGCTTTTGTATTAAGTCAACTCGGGTTCTAACCTTAGTGAAAAGTAACTAAATTGCAAATAGCTAAATAGATATATGATACATTTGTATATGCTGAAATGGTTAATTTATACAGAAAAGTAACTAAATTAAAGGGACCTTAAGCATTTGAGCCTTGTAATGATTTAATTTCTGAATTCTAAAAAAAAAGGAAGCACACTCTTTTTTCAAAAATTGTGTTGTTACATATAGGTGTATTTAGTATGAGCTTATATTTAAAAATCCTTTTTATTATAGATTTAAAAGTATAATTATTGTTGTAGGTTTTAGAAACAACAAATTTGTATTTTATTTATTGAGAATATGGCTTCCAACTTCATGAAACTTAATATGAAATAGGTAATCGTTAAGATTGTAGGTGTTTTATAAGCCTGCACCTCCCTGAGAAACTTCCACTTCATGAACCCAGTGACCTGACCTTTCCACTCCTTTGCAGATCCAGTTCTGCTGCGCCTTTATCCACCAGACCCAGCTTCTGTACACGGACTGTGGGTATCCCAGGTGGTCGGTGTGCTTCACCCTGCCCAACGCGGTGTTCTTCTACTTCCTGTTCAACGACTTCTACCAGAAGTCCTACAAGAAGAAGCAGGCTGCTGCCAAGGCCAAGGCTCTGACGGCGGACAACAACAACGATGGGTGCGCCAAGGACCTCAACAGGGCCGTGGAGCTGGATAACCAGATGAAGCAGAAGGCCTTGTAGAGGGGGGCCTCCAACCAACCACCCACCAACCTCACCCGCCCCCGCAAAACCCCCACCACCCACCACCACTCCCCCCTTCAATACTCGTACCAAAAGCGGGACAAACACCCACTGAGAGCCACCCATGTTCTATGTGCAACCTTGTTGACTAATTTCTTAAGTAATCCGCCGCCAAAAAAGAAACGAGACGAATAGATATTTGAGCAAATGAGGTTTTCGAGACACAGATACACATATTATGTAAATGTTCAAACAGTTGAAATTGCTTTTTGCAGCCATCGTCATCATCGCTCGCTCCGTTTGATGTTCGCATCTGGCGGACCCAAATGAAAGAAGTCGTATGTCTTTCGGCCAAAACTGAACTAAGTTAAGTAAACAGGCAGAAGAAGCGTTAGTTGTGTAAATAAGTGTAGGTACGCATGCAAATGTGTTTTCTTAGATTTTATATACGTGTGGTATGTAAAGTAGGCATAAAACAAGTGAAAAACTAGCTAATAACAAAACCATAAATACAAACACATTTTACAAATAAATCTAGAATTTTTTCTACAAAAATATCGAAAAATAACAATGAGAATTATTCTTTTTCTTATGAATGGGAAATGGACGGGGGGAAAAAGTTGTATTTGATCAAACACAAAGGTTTATTTATTGAGCAGGACTTCTAAAAAAGAATCTATGGAGAGTTCTATTGATTCGTCAGCACTTAAAACTGTGTAATGAATTACAAAATTAAACCATAATGCCTTTTTTCCTGACGATTCTCATACAGCAAATATATAAAATCAATGGCAAATCCATTAAAAAGGTTCTGTGAAATTGAATGATCAAATCTGTTTAAATATGTAAAATATTGAGTAAGCAAACCCTATGTTGCCCTTGAAAATATTGCAACTAAAGCCATTTCCTGTAACCATAAATGTTCACTTAATTTTTTTTTTATAGAGTCTACAATTCAAATGGTATTTATCTTTAAGATAACATTGGGGAATCTCCTAAAGAGCGGCCACACCCTATTTCATCCTAATCTAACCATTCATGATCTCAGTTAACCTCAGATAACTGAGTTGAGGAAACCTTTTCTCAAGGAACTGACTTGAATTGAAGCACCAGCTGATATATAGAATCAAATCTATTCATTCATTCGGCAGCGGAAGCAAAGACATCAGTAATCGATGGATGATTTAAATATGAATGGGCGTGGCTGGAACTGGTCTATGAGGTGATGCAGCACGTCCAGTTTGTGAATTTTTACGAGGCTCTGGGAACACGAGTTAACCACTCATTAGAGCTCATTTCGCAGGCACCTTGAAAGGCGGCTGAGATAAGAGTTTGATAAATTCCACAGCCTTTTATTGAGCAATCAGTCAAAACGGAACCGAGGCGGAAGTGAAAACGCATCTTCGAGTGGGGTTTGCGATCGCAGTGTCCGATGTGCGGATACAGTATCCAATAGAGCCGGTTTTGGACACTTGACCTTGATCTTGACCACAAAACACGAGAAAACAAAGCGAACCTCTGAGCCAAAACTTGGTCTTCATCTGGCCAAACCGGAGCTAAGGTTTATGCCAATATTATTCCAGTTTTATTGCCCGATCATCATAGATTCTATCAGGTCCGATATTAGAGTTGAAAAAGAACAGAACTAGTGGGGTTTCTTTTTTATTAACGAAGACACTTCAGAAAATTTCCATAATAATTTTTTAAGGCATACTTTCAGGCCGTTTCCGATTTCAAGCCAACCCTGTTTGACCTATGCTAATTTGGCAAAAACCAAGGCATATTTAAAAATACACGCCTACCCAAAGAAACCCCAAGATACATAACAAGCTCTTTATCAGGCCCTTGAACTTTGACTCCTATGATCAGAAACAACAGTGTATTTTTATTCGAAATCTGCATAAATAAAGGTGCTACATGTGATGCTGGTGGTGGGCATGTGTGTGAGTCAAGGCGAGGGAGAAAAAAGTGATTAGAAATTCTAATTTGGCAAAGACATTCTCCCAATCGCCGCCAGGGTGTCTAAGCCTGGCCAGCAAACTGGTCGGCGTCCAGAACGTTGCATAATCAGCACAGCACGCGTACTAATTGACACACTCAGAAAAAAATGTATACTAAAGTGGAGGTTTTTTAGAAAAAAAACTTGCTTTGATTTTTGCTCGAAATGTTTTCATTAAAGTTAAATTTTCTACATGTGTCACAATTGTAGTTGAGGAAGTAGCAATTCTTAAGAATTATTTCAAGGGATTATCATCTTTAATTTTTTGGTAATACGAGTTTCCAAAATATGCGGTTAAGTTAAGGTAGGACAGTCAACTAAAAAAGTAGGTACAGTATCGGTGTTTAATCGACAGGCATTAATCATGTTTTATGGTCGAAGAATACCTGACGTCTTGCAGATCTGCATAATTTTTTTTTGTCTGGATGAAGCGCGTGGCCCGGCAGTGCCGCTGCCGTCATAAATAATGGGTTCCAATGGGATCCGGTTTGGTTACCTAACCCAAGAGCCTCGTGCAGAACTAAAAACCCCAAATCCCCAAAAGCCAAAACTCGAATCAAGCCGGCAAAGAACAAAAACACAGTTTGGGTTTTATTTAATATACAAAATAAAAGTTTTATTGAATTCTTGTTTCGAGAAACGATTTACGGCTGCATTTCATTAATAAGCTCTATCACACATTGGCGCACACACACTCAACTAGAAAAACATTAACACGTACTCAGTCAGACATGGCCACAATCATACACTTAGGGTCCTAGCTACTTTTTGGGTTTTGAATCGTCGCCTGCCCGGCATATAAACATTATACAAGGTATTCTCCGCAGACTCCAGACTGCAGGCTTCAGATAAAAGGTAAGTGGTAAGTGGTAAATCGTAAATGGTAAAGGTAAGAGTTACGAACTAAGCCCCGCGCTAAAAACGTAATTGCTAACTGAAACCCTGAAATGGTAGCATCTCTCCGGATGATACCGCTCCCATCACTCCAGCTTCAGCGGCTTCACGCTGTTGTTGTTCAGGTCGAGGTAGGCCTTTCCAGGCTGGGCGTTCAGCAGGCTATGCTTTCCGGCGTTCATGGTCTGGGGCATGCAACCCATGCCGCCGGCTGCCCGCAGAGCGGACTTGGCCAGGCTGCTGCCGGTGGTGGAGGAGGGGCGTCCGCTGGCGTCCAGGCTCTTGGCCTTCTTGTAGGTCTTGCGGTAGAAGTTGCCGAACAGGTACAGGAAGATCACCGTGTTGCCCACGAAGAAGAAGGTCAGCGTCTTGGGCATGTTGCATCCCTTGGCCCCGACGGCCAGCATGTAGCCCAGGATGAGGACGAACTGGATCAGCTGGATGCTGGTCATGTACTTCTTCCACCAGAGGTACTTCTGGTACTGGGGTCCCATTGCGGCCACCATGTAGTAGAAGTACATGATGATGTGCACGCCAGAGTTGAGGATGCCAATGATCACGCCCTGCTCCCCGGGAGCGTACTTCAGGTAGCCCCAGGAGAAGAGCACCGTGATGGTGTGGTGGTACACGTGCAGGAACGACACCTGGTTGTCCTTCTTGCGCAGCACAAAGAACGTCGTGTCCAGCAGATCGATGATCTTCGAGAAGAAGTAGAACCAGGCGCCGGAGTATAGGGTCAGGTTCTGCTCCCTGGTGCGGTTGATCTCGCACTTCTTCGAGAAGATCGACGCCATCACATTGCTCTCCTGGATGGACTGCAATAACAATTAGAAAGGATTGTTTAGAACTCATTTTTCAATTCATAAGACATTCCGTGAAATGTACATCTCAATTAAGTAAACATCCACAAAACTTTTCTTTTTCGTTTTAATGGAATAATCTGATTTCAAAATTTGATAAACGATTAAAAAAGGCATTACTGTATTAACTGTCGAGATAAAATGTTTTAAATACATTTTTAAATTAAAGATTATTTATAGTTTTATAATGAACTTTAAGATAAGTTCAAAAATCCAAATTTAACTTAATTAATTTACATTTTTGTAAGTTTACTGAATACAGCTATATTCCTGAATTATTCATGTACGATTAAGCAATAAAAATGGAAACAGTTCATTCATTCATTAAAAGGCCACGCTTCTGCTTGCGTTTATTGCCAAAAATTGCGACTAGAATTTAAACCAATTTGCTGCTCAAAAAGTACGTTGATCTATTTGAAATTCTGAATTCCTAATGCAAAAACGACCTAGCCTTTGTATGTTCAACAAGCACTTCGCTGCGTGGATTATTAAAAATGAATAATACATAAATCGGGATCGGAAGCCGAGCTCCCGGTTTATGGACTCACCGTGCGGCACATCCAAATGGAGTACAAGACCTGGAAGGCATTATAGAAGACCATGATGCGCTTGAGGTCCATGGGCTTGCGGTTCTTCATGTACTCGGGTCCGATCTTCAGCACGAATGCCAGGTAGACCAGGACCACGGCGAACACGGGGGCTGGGGAGCTCATCAGGAACCAGCTGTCCACCGTCTCATCTGGGGAATAGATAAATAAATGAGTTTATGTCTTCAAATACACCTGAATAATGATTCAACTCACCCACGCCTTTCGAAAGGCCGGAGATGCGCTCCTCGACAATCTTCATGTAGGTCGTCATTTTGGCAACTGGAAGAAAAAGGTTCACGAGCTTTAGAAAATTTCGCCCAAAATCGAGAATTCAGAGCCCGACGTCCGAACGCCGCGTTGCCAAAATATTGAATGAAAAGTTATTCTAAATCGCGATCGCTTTGAGAGGCTCCGCACGTTTTTTTTTTTTTTTTGCTCGGCTCGACGAGGAGCGTGATCCGCATCGGAATTTCTGGGCAGGCACGCCACAGATTTATTAATGAAAGGCGCGAAGAAATCGCTTATTAAGTTATCCCCAATCGAATGATGAATGACGACAGCAAGTCGGCGGACAAAGATTAAGCTGGTGCACCTCAATGCCGACTAAACATCTAGACATATCTCTCTCGAATCAATAACGAAGATGTCTTCAAGATCTAAGATTCTTGGGCTAAGCCACGACCGCAAGTCAATGGCTTGGAAACCTGAAAAGAGCCGGACTCAAGGCTTCATTTGAATTTTTCGCCTTGGCACTAAAGTTTCGACTAACTTTGGCATTCATCTTGGCTTCTATCTGGGCATCAGTGTTGGTTTTCAGATAAAATCGCAGAAACACACGGACTTAATGTTCTAGCCAATGGCCCTCGTGCTCTTGCTTCACATTGTTATTTAAATTGCACACGGAAAGAGTTTGATTGAAAATGACCCATCAAATGTATTCAATTACATGGCAGCCAGAACTCGTTTCTTGTGTAAACCGTGTGTGTATTATGTTCATTAACCACTGACCTAGCCAACTCGAACCGGAACTCGTTCGGCAGAAGATTCTCGAAGTTTAGTTAGTTAGTTTAGTTTGTATAATTAGCTGCTGGGCTTCGCTGAAAGGTATCCAATCCAGTTGGGGACGTCGCAGAATAAAACTAGTTGGCAAAACTATTTCAAAACGTTTCTACTTTAAAGGCACGGCCTGCTCTATAATGATTCTCCGATGACTGGAGTTTTGTTCTCTTCTGTGATTGCAGCAGCAGCCCTCTTCATGGATCACATGGCGTGTAATTAGATTTGGAGAGCCTGGCCGAAGAACAGAAAGGTGGGCAAACAACACCTGCCACAGTCGCTAATTGGACACACTCGGCGTATGATTGATATGTGCTGACTGCCGCTGATCGACAGCAACTGAGACTAGGTCTCTGTCAGGGTTAAAGCAATCGCAATCGCAATCGCAGTCGCCATCGGAATCGCCTTCCCATGTCCATATATCCACATAGCTATAGCCATTCCCAGACCCATTCGTATGCAAGCCACTTGGCATCCATAGACTGACACTGGAGACAGGAAAAGTGAGCTGGCTGCCGCATCATCATCATCATCATCGCGATCGCGATGATCATAGCCAGCCAAAAATGTGACGCCAATTGGCAGTCAGGCGACTGTTCCGCTGGCTGCCTTCACAGCTGCTGACGTTGAGATGCCCACCCTTTTTGGGAAACCCCCAACCCAGCCAGCACCTTCTGCCACACTTTCGGAACCCCTAAGGCTGGATTCTAGGCCCGACTCTTCCGCCATGAGTACATTAAAAATAAACCACAATGCGAGATACTGCCGCGCACGCATTAAAATTATGTGTATTGTATGCATAATTGATTTCGTCCCCTTTAAGAGCTCACTTGTCAGCATTATCAGAACGGAGAAGCGAGCTGGCGATACTCGGAACTGGGTTTACCCAGCACTCGAACACGACTTGGCCATAATTTCAAATGTTGTGACTAATACGAAAAGTATCTAAACACCCAAAAGCGTTGGCCGTCTGCTGCGTTGCGGAAAAGCACCGAAAAAAGCGTTAATTTTTACGATTTTGCCTCTAAAAATAAAAGGTTTGAGTCAAAAAAACAACTTAATTTGCCACTAATTCGAAATCTAATGAAGGCCGATGGGGCATTAGTCTTTCATCTCGGAGCGAGTCTTTATGTATCTGTATCTGCGATTTAAATGTTGTTAATGTGCCACAAGCAAAAGCTGCAAGTTTTGCATGTTTATTTTGCAAGATTGCGCCAAGAAGGCAAAAGGCGTTTTTCGTGTTATGTCGCCACGTGTATACACCGGAAAAAAGTGTATACTCAAATAAGTAATGGCTTTAAAATTTGTTAAAAAATTAAATAATAAATCAAATAGTTGACATATCAAATTTTTAAATGTTTTTGAATGTTTACCAATTAGTGCTTAGTCTGGTTATTAAGTTTATTTAAATCAAAGAAAAACATTTTTATAAAATCAATTCTATTTAAGTTTGTTTATTGTATTTTATCATCTCCAAATATTATGTAATTATTTGTGCCTGTAAACTGTAATCTAAAGGGCGGATGTTTTTCTATGGATTGCAGGCGTCACACGATTTTCACACGCATTGAGTGTTGGCCGAATGACAACAATTAGCCATGTGAAATTCCCGAATACATTAACCCATTGAGGGTCCGCAACTGGGCGGTTTTTGCGATGCAATCGAGCGAGTAGCTCATAAAACGCATATGTTCTGAGTAGTGGGTGTTTCACCATCAAAATTTGTACATTTTTCTCGGTGGCTGGCGCATTGTTTCCCCAACGTGGCTTGAAGCAGTGCAACAGGTTAATCATTTAGTTCTGCCTGTGTCAAGTGCACATGTTTTATGCTTTCATGCTTGCTTAGCGCTGTAAAATTATTTTTTCTGCCAGCCGAGGCATTTACAGAGAAGGCAAAGAAACGCGTCGAGTCAGCCAGCACTTGGCAAACCGCAGAAACGCCACATATACATCCATAACTATAACCCACACCGGGAAAAAATATAGTCAAGTATTTTAAAAACTTAAAAAACCAGTATAAGTTCTTAGCGAAAATGTAATATATGAACATTTTCTTAATTTTAAGAACGATATGGATAAATAACATTATAATATTTATCTTTAAATAAACAGGAAAGAAGGGAATATGTTATTATTTAAAATAATATTAAATAATGAAAATGATTGCAAAAGAAAGGTAACAAAAACTGAACCATTTTTAGAACCTCAAGTATTTTTAAATTTAATATATTATTCTAGGTTTTTCAAACTATTTATAATTGTAATATTTTGGCGGATTGCCAAAAAACTATTATTGTTCGCCGTGCACAAACAGTAAGAGTTTGGCGGTGGTGACTTTTTGGGCTGGCTGACAACCTTTAATTACTTGGCAAATATTTGCTGCGTTAATTGGATTTTTCCTGGCCCAAAACTCTCGGCGTCGGCGTTTCGTTAGAAACTGTAACGGATATGGCCCGCGATCTCTTCGTGGGAACTGCGACTTCTAATTTGTTTGTCTAACCATGAAATGTGGTCATCTTTAACTGACTTGTTGCTGGGTGTCTATGGAAGGCCATTTGGCCGATGCAGCTGCAAATTGAATCGCAATCGATTACAAGTTCAAATCGTTTAGTTTTGGCCGCCTCAATGCTGCAGCCAGAGACTTGGCCTTGGCTGACTGGCAAAATTGCAGCTCCTCAAGCCAGTTTTCAGCATTTAATCTATGTACGATGCATTGGGTTAAGGTCGACGAGAAAAATCAGACGGACCAGTGGCAGTGGCAGTGGCAGTTCAGTTGCAGCAGAATTAGCCAGGCCTAGATCGGCCCACTGCTGCCAGTTGAGTTTTGGCCTACTCCTTGCAAAAGAACCGCACTCTAATTTATGCAACACTTTCACACCTCGGGTGTGCCCCCAAAAATGGAAATCACTTCCGTAGCGTACCTGTTGGGCTCTTTTCTCGCCGGACTCCCTGCTAACTTGGCTCACACACACACTGACACTGGCACACACACACTGTCGCACGACCGTAGCCTGAAGATTCAGTTTCAGAAACGGACTCGAAACTCGGACTCGACTGCGGCAAACGCCAAGAAGACACTAATATGGAGTTCTACCCGCTCGGCTGTATAAATAAACAAAATGAACGAGCTTCGCTTGGCGGGTCGTCGGCAGCGCAGTCGACGCTCGGCCCGCTCGGCGTATACTTAACCTTTTTTTTTTCACTTTTTCGTCACTCGGTCAGGTTCGATGCGATGCAAGTCGAATTTTCGTTAATGGCCAATTTGAATTGCGCGGTCTTGTTAATAGAAATAGCCAGTCTTGGTTTCTTTTCTGATTTTTTTTTTGCTGATTTTCTGGTGCTAAGGTCAAGTTTGAAGCAATTAAATTGAATGTCTGTGCCGAGAAAAGAAAGCAAAACTGCTAACGGCAGCAGCTACATGCGATCGGTTTTCTTGGTTTATTTTGAACAAGTTTATTAACCCTTTCCCGGTTAGCCAAAAAAACATGCAGATCCTATCGCAAAAAGAGTGGCGAAAAAAGAAAACGAAAGCAAAGAGAAAAACAAAAATGTACACAGTGAAAATCGTGTTGCCGACTTTTAATTCGCTTTTTTAAAAACCTTTTAAAGGAAATAATTAAATGTATGTTAACTACTTTGAGAAAACTTTTGAGAGAACTTTAGCTACCTACTGTATTTACTACTTACTATTCACTTTTTAAATGCTTTAAGTAAGTAGAGTTATATTATTAAGATATTTTATTATTTACCTCGACCTTTGGGTGATAACTTAAGTTTAGTGATTTTCGCGTCATTCCAATTTCATTTTCATATTCTAAAGCTTTTAATATTTAATTTCATTTCTTCTAAATTGACAGCCAATATAATATTTTTATTTAACAAAACTGTGTACAAATAATTGTAAATATTTTATTAAAAATTGTTGACTAAAAAAATCGAAACAAATTAAATGGAATTGATAAAATAGATAAATTATTCATATCCATAAAATAAATACGTATCAACATTTTATTTTCAAAACTATTAAAAGTAAATTGTGTTATAGATAAGAGGCTCTTTCTGTGTGAAAAAACAAAAGGTGAGCTATTTCGCTGGTATTTTTCCGTGTGCACTTTTCTAGCAACCAAATTGGCTTTAAATAAACCGCTAGACAATTGATTTATTATCGCTGTCACGTCATGGGGACGGACTCAATGGGCAGCACACATATACCATATGTACACACATACGATATGTAGGCGACACGCCCCAACTCTATTACATGTACCTACTTAACTTACGCAAACTGGGATTCACGGCGGGTAGTTAACACATTTCCAGGCCGATGGGAACGATTAGCCGACCCAGTGATGGGAAATTTCACGCACTTTCCCAGTTTCCGGAACTGGGTGACCCGGCTCCACCCACGTGCTAAGTGCCCGGCCAAATATTTGGCCGAGTCGGTGCACTGCAGCTGTATTGGTCGCCCGGCTAGTCCGGCTCTTCCGGGTCTTTAGCATTTCCATTTGAGCAACAAGGCGGGCCAAAAACAAAAAGTCGTTTTGCATTTGTTATCGCTCGCTTGTCATTCGAGCAGCGCGCGTATTATCGCCGCTTCTCTTTTGTGATAATGACCATGAACTTCAGCGCTACTATTTTAAATCAGTCGATTAATACCGCTAGTCGGGGTCTGTCCATGTGCGAAATCTGCTCCTTGGCCGACTTTCTGATGGCGCGCAGTTCAGAACGCCCAGAGCTTCATGACGCGGGCCGGCTGATTGATGTTATTGGCCTGGATTCGTCAGTAGGGTTTCATGTTTATGCGGTGTCCATGCGGAAAACAAGTTCTAAGGTTTTTGTTAACTTTAATTGACTCTGTTAAACAAAGTTGAATGCCTATTGGGAGCTGCTAAAGGTGTTAGTTTTTTCATATCCAATAAATATTTTACGGGCACTATTAAATCAAAATTTAACTAAGTTTTTGAGCGGTATACAAGTGCATTTTTGAAGCTCAAAATGCTGGTTATATTTCCTTAACATACACTAATTTATAAAAAATGGAATACCGACTAAAAGTGTATACATATTTTTGTATTCCCAATTAAAACTTTTTATCATGTTAATTTTTTTTATAATCTTTCAAGAATTAATTAGATTTCGAGGTGTTACGAAACCGCGAATCTTTTTTTGGGCCACAAAATCTGGTTCGCTTTATTATCCTAGTTATTTGATTTAGTTTTTTTGAATTGTATTATTTAAATTTCTTAAGAGCTATCACATAAAATAATAAAGTCTTCTAATAACCAAACGTTTTTTTTTTTGGGAATTATTTAAAAACTTAGAGAGAGAATCTGGTTTAAAATCCGTGTATTCAATTTGCTTTTTATTATTTTCGAAAAATAGCTTTGCAGAAAAGTTCCCTAAAGCCTTCACTTTCTTACAGACATCCGATTTCAATGTGGCATACCTCTAAATGATTGTGGTTTAATCCTCTAAAAAACTGTGTTCTCAACTTGTTTTGTATTTTGGGGTCGATTTTTCGTCATTTTTACAGTGTTACCCCTTTCCAAATTTTTAAAAAATGGCTTTGCAGAAAAGTGACCTAATACCTGCACTTCTAAGCCCATAACTTTTCTTGCTGACATCCGATTTCAAAGTGGCATACCTCTAAATGATTGTGGTTTAATCCTCTAAAAAACTATGTTCCCAACTTGGTTTGTATTTTGGGGTCGATTTTTCGTCATTTTTACAGTGTTACCCCTTTCCAAATTTTCTAAAAATGGTTTTGCTGAAAAGTGACCTAAATCCAGCACTTCTAACGCCATAACTTTTCTTGCTGACATCCGATTTCAAAGTGGCATACCTCTAAATGATTGTGGTTTAATCCTCTAAAAAACTGTGTTCTCAACTTGGTTTGTATTTTGGGGTCGATTTTTCGTCATTTTTACAGTGTTACCCCTTTCCAAATTTTCTAAAAATGGCTTTGCTGAAAAGTGACCCAAATCCAGCACTTCTAAGGCCATATCTTTTCTTACAGACATCCGATTTCAAAGTGGCATACCTCTAAATGATTGTGGTTTAATCCTCTAAAAAACTGTGTTCTCAACTTGTTTTGTATTTTGGGGTCGGTTTTTCGTCATTTTCACAGTGTTACCCCTTTCCAAATTTTCGGAAAATGGCTTTGCAGAAAAGTGTCCTAAAACCTGCACTTTAGGTAAATAACATCTGAGAATCTTAGCCTTTTATATATAGTAATAAATTCAATGTGTTTTGCCATGAGCTTTTTGTTTTACGGAAAAGTAGCCCCTAAAATAAAATTATTTGCATACTTAAATAGGTTAACCCCCAGAGAATTCAATTTGCGATTTCATAACTACCAGTTTTGAGTTGACTTTCTGTTTACTGAATTTAATGAGGGGCTTTCGGAAACTGTTTGAAACAATTTCTCTGTGGCCGTAAACCAAAAAAAAAGACAGTATTCTCATAATATACGTCTTGTAATTCCGTCACGGTCGACAGTTTCTCATGAAAAGTATATTGTATGTGAAATACTTAGGCAAATAACCAATATTTAACGAGTATAATTATCACCTTTGATCGTCAATAAAAAGTTGTGAGTGCCCAACAGTGCTTAGCTACTAATGAAAGCACTTTGTTTACAGGGGGTAATGTAATTATGTGGGCAGCCCTTTTAAATATTTGCGCCTTTTTAGGGAGTTGCCATACTGTTTGGGAGCTGTTAAAGACAAGAACTGTTAACCAGCTGTTAACAGTAGCTGGTGTAGCAAAGTGTGACCGCACTTCCTGCTAAAACATATGGTAGCTGGGGACCTTTCTTTTCCCGGAGGCAGCCATACTGATCGAAAATTTAGGAAAAACATATGCAAGAAACTGCAGCTGTAGATAATTAAAGCAAGTGCAGCCAATAGTTTTCCGCGCCAGTGTTGACTTCAAGGGCCTGCCGTTGAAGTAACGCCAATTGCGCTACTTTCGAGTGGTAAGTGCATAGTGACGAAACGCCAGTGAAAAAATCGAGTGATTAACCCTTCGGTGGTGTTGTGACACTGCCTAAATACTTCTCGAAAATGGGAACTGCGCAAGTGGAGTGCTGGTGTGGGTACAAACCAGTTGGTAGTGTTCCCTTTACACGTGGCCTTGGTAAAATGTTTTAAACGGTTCTCGCCATCTACAAAGATTTCCCATAACTCCCACCTGCACTTTAACCCTCTAGGAACCCTCTGTATTTTTGGGACCCCATCTTATGTAAAACTTCAATTAGCAGCGAATTCACCAAGTGATAAAACCCACAAAGCAATAGGAACTAATAAAAACCAGATACAGACATACACATTGCAAATTTCGCTGGGATACAAAGGTCGCCCCAATACTACATATATATGCGCTCGGGACAGAATAATAAACAAATAAAATATCGCATTTCCCCAGTAAAGCCAGCGTTGAACTAACAAACGTTTCACATTGCCTTTGAGCAACCAAATTCAAACGTATCGTATTGATCAGAACGCGTTTTATTACAGAATCTAATTGCGGAGTGCCCGAGGGATCCGGAATTCGTAACGCCATGGACTCAGCCACCAATCTGCTGGAGCAGCACAGCTCGACGGGCGACTTGAGCAGTGGAGCCCCCGAAGTGGAGGTGATCACCAAGGCCAGGGCCTCCTTTGCCATGGATTCCACCGGGAACGCGACCGCCGAGGGAGTGACCACCACCACGGCCACTCTGCGGGCGTCAGGATCCGAAGAGGACATCTTCGAACAGGTGCAGATGATCCTGCGCAAGCGACGCGGCTGGGGCCCAGAGGATTCTCTCAGCGCCAATGATCTGGACCTTCTCGGGTACGACGATGAGTTGGCCGAAGAGGATGACGCCGGTTGCCCTCTGCCCTCCACCCCGGAGGACACACAGCTAATCGAGGCAGAGGTGAGTTGGGACTAGCAACCTAGGGGAAACCTGGTGGAAAAATACAAATAACACTTGGCGATACAAGTGCGCAGCTCTAATCGATGACCCATTGTCATGTGGTTATCTCCTGCCAGTTTTTAGTCGCAATTTTCCGACTGCTCAGGCAGTCATTTGAATGTCGAGCTCTTATCAATGGAAATGTTGCACTAGCCCAATGACTAGTTACCACATTTAAATGTACCATAACCATGGAGTGTTGTAAAACCTTATCTTGGCCATTTCTTGTTTTTTATGACTCACTAAATATAATTGCTCAATTTGTAGCCCATTCCACAGCCATTAAAAAGTAAAGCCTTATCTATTTTAGCTTATTCTCTCTACTTTCGACCTGTGAAATACAGTTCACCGAATTGAGGCTTAATTAATCAGCACATTTTGCTCTTCGGCTCGAAAGGTTAGCTTAGATTTAACGCGAAAGGCTTCGGCATAGCCCTTTAAACGGCAGATGATAGAAAAATAGTCAATCTACTTCGATGCGGTGCTGATAATGACAAGAGAGACGGTTTCTAGCGCGCTTATCTTATCTCCGGACGCATTCGTGCTTTCTTGTTCCGCCATCGTATAAACAAATTGTGCCGACTGAGTATGCGACTGGCAGAAGCTTCAAAGTACGAACGTTTGTTTTTCGCACACTTAGTTCTAGTTCTGTTCGAATCTCTGTTAGCCGCTCAAGATGGAGTCCCACCCGGAAGTCGTAGTGCGTGTGAATCCGGATCTGGAGCCGGATGTCAGTCAGAAGGCGAAGAAAACCCAGAACGAGAACACAGTCGAAGCGCAAAAAAGAGTCGTTAGTCCCATTCGTTTTTAATTATCCTTTCATCTCGTAGTTTAAGCTTTTGATATCCGTTTAGTGGCCTGAGTAATGTCTTATCAATCTTTCCAACAGATGACGGAAGTGCTAAAGGCTGGTGTTCTATCCGATGAAATTGATTTGGGAGCATTGGCCCACAATGCCGCCGAGCAGGCGGAGGAGTTTGTGCGCAAGGTAAGCGAAGAGATTTAATCAGGTGGAGGATGACCTGAGTGCAAGATTCCCTGTGAAGTTTTGTTGTATTTGTGCAATTTTTGTGTAACCTTTAAATAAATAGATTATGTTGTGCGGTGTCTGTATTTTTTGTGGTTGTTTTTAGTTTTTTAGTCTGTTGCTTAATCCTGTTACTAATATGATTTTTCTATCACTAGGTTTGGGAGGCCAGCTGGAAGGTGTGCCACTACAAAAATCTGCCCAAGTGGCTGCAGGACAACGACTTCCTGCACCGCGGCCATCGCCCACCGCTGCCCTCGTTCCGCGCTTGTTTCAAATCTATTTTCCGCGTCCACACGGAAACGGGCAACATCTGGACACATCTGCTGGGCTGTATCGCCTTCATCGGAGTGGCTTTGTACTTCATATCGCGGCCTTCGGTTGAGATTCAAACGCAGGAGAAGATCGTCTTTGGCGCCTTTTTCGTCGGGGCCATCGTGTGCCTGGGATTCTCATTCGCCTTTCACACTCTAAGCTGTCACTCTGTAGAGATGGGAAGACTGTTTTCTAAGTAAGTTTGTCACATCGTTAATACTAAAGTCATATTAATTATTTTGTATATTCGCAGACTTGACTACTGTGGAATTGCGCTGTTGATCATGGGCTCCTTTGTACCTTGGCTGTACTATGGCTTCTACTGTCATTACCAGCCGAAGGTTATTTACCTGTCGGTGGTGTGCGTACTGGGCGTTCTCTCCATCGTTGTCTCCCTGTGGGATAAGTTCTCGGAGCCTGCACTTCGGCCCTTGCGCGCTGGCGTGTTCATGAGCTTTGGCCTGTCGGGTGTGATTCCAGCTATTCACTATAGCATCATGGAGGGCTGGTTCAGTCAGATGAGCCGCGCCAGTCTGGGATGGCTTATTCTGATGGGTGAGTTTTACTAAACGAGTAATATATAAAGAAGATAATGGTTAACATTTGTTTTGTAGGCCTGCTCTACATCCTAGGCGCTCTGCTGTATGCTCTTCGTGTTCCCGAGCGTTGGTTCCCCGGAAAGTTTGACATTTGGGTAGGCTTGAAGGAGTCGTTAGACCCTTGTACTTGTCTAATATTTTATTTCATTGCAGGGCCAATCACATCAGATATTCCACATACTGGTTATTGCTGCTGCCTTCGTGCACTACCATGGCATCTCCGAAATGGCAATGTACCGGGTCATGTACAGCGAGTGCACCGTTCCCATCGAACCGATATCCTTCTAGATGCTTAAGCGGATGGCAAGAAACAATCATCGTAAAAGCACATTCAATCCCATACATTTTCCAATAACATTATACAAATTATTGTGAAGTAGCACACTTTTACAATGCAACCTTTTTAGCGTTTGGTGCGCATTTGTACCTTGTTAAACATATTCGACGGAATCATAATCAAGACACAAACACACGAATTACGCGCATTTATCATCAAAATCTTTCATCTTACAAAAGAAAACCTAGCAAAAACAGTTGATTGTCGAATGAAATCTGCAGTAGAGTAATTAATATATGTACAATTATTTATAAAATTCCAATTCGTCTCTCAATGTTCTACTAAGTTGATCGACCTTTCAGGTAGTGCTGAATTGCTTGCATCTGAAATTGTTAAAAGGCCAAACATCCGACAGGAGTCATCGCTATGTGACTATTCCTCAGGGGTACCATTGCTATAAAAGTTTTCGAAAACCCAGCCAAGCAATTTCCACATAGAATTTACCGCTTAAGTTTGTTAAGGTTTTATGGTGTAATGAACCTACGTTTCAATCGTTAAATGAGGTCTGATTTTAGTTTCAAACACTGCAAACCATAATTCCAAAACCATACACGGATAGCAGGACACCGCATTGGAGCCTAAGATATTATATCACCATATACATTATAATTGCAGATCTATCACAAAACATAAAGCGAATCAAAACAATAAAAAACTTAAGACTTCTAAGCAAAGGTATTTTATTTCCCAACACAAAAACTACGTTTCAGATTGCTGATTGCGATTTGGCAATTCGCTTGCCATCACCCTAATGCCTAGCCATAAATATCGCCCCAGAGAACTAGAAATCCGCATCGGGGTTATTGCTTGAGTTCAGTCTGCCAGGCGAGGGCACAGCATTTGCTGCTGATGACTGGGCGAATGCCGAGTCGACTTTGACCCCCTTGATAAAGTGAGCAGCCGTGGTCTAGTCTCCGAAATCTCGATCTGATTCCTCCGCTGCCTTGTGTTCTATGCGCCGTCATTGTCTTCGCCGTGTGCCAGTTTCTATTAGCGAATCCGCAGATCGCTAAACCTTTTATTTTTTTTCTCGCAAATAATCGAACTTTGTACTCGACAACTTGTCGGCACGTGTCTTTCAACTAAATGCGATTGCAGGTTTTTTACTTTAAAATTTCAAGTTCAACAGCAACAAAAAAAAAACAAATGACTCGGTCAATATAAGGCGAAAATCAGTTCGGAAGTTGAGCAAAATGGGAGAAAACCAAAGTCAAAGAGAAATATTTTAAAAATTACCTAATGAGGCATAAGCATGTGCATATCTAAAAGGTACAGTGGGGCTTCGGGGTGATGATTTGTTGTCACAGTTTAATGGATTCACTCATCAAACATGTTGGCTCGACCCCTTGTTATGCGATTAAATCTATAAATATTACTAAGACCCAAGTATTTTACATTTTAAGTTCGAAAATCGTTGGCACCGGGATACATAAAACACCCTACACAGTATACCAAAAACTGCGTTGAATAAAAAATGCAAATCAAGTGGCTACAAATTGATGCCAGATGGGGAATTGGTTTTACCTTTTAAGGCTGGTCTCTAGTTTGCGCTGACCCTTGCAAGTGTCAACTGTGTGGGGCTTTCTGCAGTTTGAGTTACCCAAAGTAGAAGTCCCAAAATGTAACTGGGATTTCACTTCCAATTAAGTACATTATTCAGTAGGCAGTGCACGCGACTTGTTTGTACTCTAATTACCCCCATTACACATAATTTGGCAGTTTGTTGACCAAGGCGGGTCAGTATGTGGTGGCTCAGTGGGGCAGCCGGAAGAGAAGACATCGTCATTATGAGGTATGCATCAGCATCCGTGTATCGGTGCTTTGTGCAGTTCAATGTCGGCATCGGCAGACTCCGCCGAGTGCGTGTAGATGGAGAGTTCAGGCTGTTTCGGCCACCCAGTTTCGACTTGGCTTTCAGCTCTTTATTAATGGTCTTGTGCAGTTGCTTTTATGCCTTAAATTCAATAAATACACGCTAACTGCGAGTGAGACGCAGACTGACAGCCAGCAAGTGGCAACTGGTCTTTGAAGGTTTTTGGCGTTTAAGTGTTATGGTCAAGGCTGTCGCACAGCATCCGCTGTGTGTCCAGTTCGTTAGTTCATTGATTTCCAATCAGCCTCAGTTCACCTCGGACTCCGCTGCTTGCCAACATTTTGTTGGCTTTGGCTGCGTTTTTTCCACCATCAGCGTTCTCTAAGTGTTACGCATTAATTGAGTTTTAATGTACGCATTTGATTGCGCACAAGAATTGACACAAAAACGGCAACAACGACTGAAAATTACTAAATTAAGAGCAAAATAAGACAAAGAGGAGACAGAATTTTTTTGTCTAACCATCCGACGATCAATCCTATTCTTGCAGAAACACCGAATCCAATCATTTTCATGCAAATTATGGTATCTTGTCAAGTTCAAAAACATTAAAACCGTATAATACCCACCAAAGACTGGTTGGCAATAGGTTTTTATTTATTTTCGTTTTGTTGTTGCCAATGTAAAGATGTTTTGAATAAAAAAGCTCTAATCGAATGAGTCGTTAAATGAACGGCAGCAGTATCTAAAAGACGATGCTCCGGGGCATCGACGCGAGTTCGTGTCCGAAGTCTTTTGTTTCCGCCAGGCGACATTGACTTTGAAATGGTTTGAATTGTAGACAAAGGTGAAAATTCAGATGGAAAATTTACGGAAATCATCGCTTAACAATAAACAGATTGATTAAATTGTGACTGTGTCGCTTGTATGGAAATACAGTCGAAATTCTATAGATTGGAACTTAATAATTAATGAGACGTGTGAAGATTTCTGAGATTAAAATCGAATGTTCTTTGTTTTATGTTATCAAGAATTATAAACATTATTTGTAGAAAGGAAAAACATCTTTAAGTGATTTGATGTGTTATTTCTTTAATTAAGCATTCATTAATTACTTTATTTTCGACTTCTGAATGTGATTGTCATAAAAGAAAACTATTAAAGTAGCTTAACATAAAAGTCTTGATGGGAGTATAAAAATTAGTTGGTTATTATCTTAACATGGAAATGATATTGTGAATAAAGAAATATGTATAAATGCATAATGAATTTACTCCTGTACAAAGCCAAAGAGTTAGAAAATAGGAAGTCGGTTGAGTACATAAAAAATTACTTAATATTTCTATACTAATTAAAAATATATTTTGGTTTCGATTTTTGTTAAAAACACGTATGCGTGGAGTTTGACTGTCTTCCGATTGCTTAGTTCGATATCGGCTGGCACGCCTTGAAATGGGTTCAAACGCGGGGCTCGTTAACGTAAAACGAGCTGCGTAGAATCTTCCTCAAATTGCCAAAATATTTAGCAATTGAAATGAGCTCCGCCTGAACATGAACACCACAGCAGCAGCAGCACCTCCAAAATGAGATTCGGGCACGCGTCGGGCATGCCAACACAGGCGACCTTCGCGATGGCGGAAGCTCGAATGGAATCGAATTGGGCATCGGCCGGATCGGAATCCAAAGATTAAAGGCAACAGCGATCTGTGAATGAATCTATGGAATTTCGGCTGTAAAGTGCACATTGGAGCCATAAATGCGTGGAATGAGTGGGTGTGTCGCGGCAATCACTTCACAGCCAAATGAAGCGCGCTTGGCTGCATTTTCCCAACTTTGTTTTCTTTCCTTCTGATTGAGCAATTAGCAATGGTGGCAAATGTCAGACATACATTTGTACTCGGGAGTCAGTGCGTCGCGGCAAGTGTAGACTTCTTTTCAGCCCACAAAACAATGTGTTAGTACGCGGAGTAATGCAGTTAGCGGAGCCTAAAATACTGAAAACCGCGATTTTTGCGAGTGAATGAGGGAATGACGCGGCTGAAATCCATCAAGTGGCCACTGGAAGCTTTGGGCCGGAGGCATTTTGGGGCCATTTAATTGCACAATCATTTTTGCACACCACACTCACAACTCCCGCGACTGCAAAAGCATATGGGCCAGTCGATGATAAATGCAGTTTCTGTTATGATTTGCTCGACTGCCAGCTGCATATGTAGTCTCATAAATATTTTTGTACCTTAAAGAGGCGGCGGTGCATTAAGTTAATTATCGACTACTCATTACCGTCGGCATAAAGCTAATGGGTAATTAGCGGGAGGAATCCTAGAACCGGCCCTTAAAAACACGCAATGACTGCCAAGTCAGCTGGTGCTGGATTCTGTCCGACTGCTCACCTGTTTTGCGATGCCAGCCGATGGCCCCACCGAATACGATCTTGGCCGAATACGACGGCGAATCTTGGCCGAAGGCGAGCCGCTCGTATCCGTGATACGACCGCTACAAGACCGCTTGTAGGGCCCGGATATCGCTTAGTCTGCTGTCGGCACCTCTACTGCCAAGTAATCGCTGTGTACTCTCGTGGAGCTCGAGATCTCGGGATTGGCCGCCTCGTGTTCTGTGTTCCGATCGACAACGCCGCGTATGCGTGATACTGCCTCGAAGGATAACAGAAAGTGCATTTAGTGTCTGTCCTTTGCTGGAATTCTCGTTTTGTGCGTTCGTTTGTGCCGTGTGCTGTGTCGTGCCGCAAATAAATCACAGACGTCCTTTCAACATATTTTTTGGTCCCCATCAAATCAATTCAGCAGAAAGGCAAGTGTTAAAGAACTATAGAAAACAAAAACAATGGGAATTTGTGTCCAGACTTTATGCTAAGTTATGCGCACACGCTGGCAACCTGTTAAAGATTTGAGACATTTTTGGGGTCATTGCGAAACGACACCCAAGCCCAAAGACTCGGGCATGGACGAATTCGAAAGAAAAATACAAGCCAAATATGTATAAATAAATAGCATAAAAGAGAGGAGAGATAAAAAAAAGAGGGTCTTACAAAACCAGCTGTGAGGCCCGCAGATGAAAATGAAGATGGCCAGCAAGGCGGTGCGAGTGGGCCAAGTCAATCACTCGGCTAATGTGGCTCATATGTTAATCGCATAGCGATTGATCAACTTTAAACGTTATTGTAATCCCTCGCAGATGAAGACGAATGCATTTCGATGTGGTACAAGCTGAAGCTACCAGTTGCATTACCACTGATTTGAACACAGAAAAAAATTGTATTTAAATTACAAAATGGTGTTTGGCTATTGCAAGAAATATCTATAATATATATAAAAAATATGCCTTAGTTAATTGAGGTCTCCTTCTTCACTTATACTGATTTTAAATGATTTGATCATTTATTTTGAATACTTATATATTTTGTTTGGTAGAAAAACTTATTGTTCTAT